CTCGCACAATCGCACAGTGCAAAAAGGCCAAAGGTTTTTAGGCGTGGTGACGACAGCACGGTAAAGAGCCAGTCGCTGAATCTGACAAACAATTGCACGTCATCCGGACTAAGTATTAAGTAAAAACAATTGCACGTCATCCGGACTAAGTATTAAGTAAGCGGCCGTTGTGCTGCGTTCACGAAATGGCCGACATAGCCCGACCCCGCTCGATTTCTGAAGCTCAGCCGGCGCGGTCGGCGGGCCGCGGTGGCTGCCGAGCCGCCCATCTCGATCGCTCCGCTCCGCCTCTCGCCTACAAACCGCCCCACCTAATGTAATCGGCTGGCCGCCGCCCTGCCATAGCGCGGGATGAATAGCTGGAAACACCGGCCCGCCGCTGAAATCCATCACCGGACTGTCATGTGCCGGCGCCGCGGCGAAACTGCGCGCTCGTTACGGCGTGACAGGGGCGTTTCTGGGCGGCGCGGCGCGGCGCGGCGGTGGGAGCAGGGCGGGCGCCGGCCGCCTCACCGTTACACCGCGCGGCAACGGTGACTGTAATGGCTCCGAGCGGCAGAACGGGACCGGCCGCCAGCCCCGCTGGGCGGGCTGCACCCGAGGCTGGAGCCGCCGGCCCCGCTGAAACCAAACGGCCGCGGAAACATCTCAGCACCAGGCTCAGTGTCCACACTGGCCGTCTGATCCCCGTCCCGCCTCGTCGCAGCAGTCGCCGACACTGTCCGCCGCTCTCCGACAGGCGACACCGTGCGCTGCTCCCCGACACTGTGCGCCGCTCTCCGACACTGTCCGCCGCTCCCCGACACTGTCCACCGCTCTCCGACACTGTGCGCCGCTCCGCCGCTCCCCGACACTGCCCGCCGCTCCCCGACACTGTGCGCCGCTCCCCGACACTGTGTGCCGCTCTCCGACACTGTGCGCCGCTCCCCGACACTGTGCGCCGCTCCGCCGCTCCCCGACACTGTCTGCCGCTCCGCCGCTCTCCGACACTGTGCGCCGCTTCCCGACACCGTGCGCCGCTACATGACACTGTGCGCTGCTCTGCGACACTATCCGCCGCTCCCCGACACTATCCGCCGCTCCGCCGACACTGTGCGCCGCTCCGCGACACTGTCCGCCGCTCCGCGACACTGTCCGCCGCTCCCCGACACGTGCGCCGCTCTCCGACACTGTCCGCCGCTCTCCGACACTGTCCGCCGCTCTCCGACACTGCGCCGCTCCCCGACACTGCGCCGCTCCCCGACACTGTCCACCGCTCTCCGACACCGTGCGCCGCTACGCCGCTCCCCGACACTGTGTGCCGCTCTCCGACACTGTGCGCCGCTCCGCCGCTCCCCGACACTGTCTGCCGCTCCGCCGCTCTCCGACACTGTGCGCCGCTTCCCGACACCGTGCGCCGCTACATGACACTGTGCGCCGCTCTGCGACACTATCCGCCGCTCCCCGACACTATCCGCCGCTCCGCCGACACTGTGCGCCGCTCCGCGACACTGTCCGCCGCTCCGCGACACTGTCCGCCGCTCCCCGACACCGTCCGCCGCTCTCCGACACCGTGCGCCGCTCCCCGACACCGTGCGCCGCTCTCCGAGCGTGGCCTCTCCCTCAGACCGTCCACACCGCCCAGAGAAGAGTCTCGGTGAAAAGCGGCCGGCTCCCGGTCCGAGTTCTGAAACGAGTCCCCGATTGGCATCCTTTCTACGGTGGTGACTGAGTGGTTGATAGTTACATGATTAGCGTGTCTGCTCAGCCCTCCAGCTGAAGCATCTGGAACCTCCCCTGTCTCCCTGTTGCGGTCATGTCATTGTGACGGTAGATCAGTGGGGATTTCCGCCCACAAAGTGAAAGGATGACGTGCGTGACGAGCCCCGTCTTCAGACGGCTGTCTCAGAAATACAGTCACCAGTCGCCAGTCACCAGTCACCAGTCATCAGTCGCCAGTCGAGTGGTGGCGAGATGTCCGCTGTTAGATCTAACGAGCGACCGTAAGTGCTTCGAGGTGACATGCGAAAAAGTACGTTGTTGGATGGTGAAAAGTTGCAGTACGATGCAGGGATGAAATGCCCATTAGTTTCAGTCATTTTTACAACATTTATGATCGAACGACGCGCCTTTCACGTCCGGTGTTTCACGTAGCGTTGTTGCCAGTCGCGCTCACTTCTTAACATTTATGAACGAATAACCATTTCTCACAGGTGAAACAGCGTAAGGTTTGCAAATGAATGACCAGTTTCTCTGCGAAATACTGCCACCTGACCGCTGAGCAGTGCCCAGCCCGAGTGTACCGAACTAGAAACACACAAAACCAAGATGCTCTTTTCCTAATTATTCCTATTCCTAAGCACGCTTACCATATCCTTCTGTCTGATCAATCATCTCAAGATGTGCTTGTCAATTTTCTCGGCACTATGGAGCACGATGCAAGTATTTTATCACTGATAAATTATTCTGAATTCTTGACATGTTTTTCAGTGGTCATGCATTCAGTTATTCACCCACCTTTCAAAGCTATTCATGCGAGATCATGTAAGTTTCCCGCGTTGCCGTTCGTCCGGCTGAGTCGGTGGCTCCACAGAGGTCTGGAGCCTGGAGGCCCCCTGTCATCCCCGTAACTCTGTGCAGCTCTGTGGAACACTGTGGAGCACTGTGGCACTCCGTGTAAATCAGTGTCCTCTGATGGAACTCTGAGTAGCACTGCTGTACTCCCTGTCACTCTGTGGAAATGTGTGGAAGGGAAGGTACCGGTAAAACAGCACAGTCAGTCCATTGACCGATCCAAAGCAGCGTGGTACTGGTACTGACAAATGGTGATGATCCATGATACTGACACATGCGATACTGATTCATTATGCTGATTCATCACTCATTAAATGTGGTACTGGTGTCATACTGAATTACGATACAGATCCGTGGAGCCTGATGTTGATCGTTGATACAAAAAAGCATAACGATGCGTACGTTGCATGCTGCTGACCAGATGAATTATCAGTAATAATAAGCATGAAAATAATTGGATGATAATGTCAAGATGCAAGATAATTAAAATGGCCACAGTATCGTATCAGAACCATCCCTAAAGTAACTGAATATTCGTGCTGTCTCGGCTGGCGGAGTGCGTTAGAAGAAATCAATGTACCACAGCCATCGAATCCACCGAACCTACATGACATGAAGACGCCGGCACAGTCACTGGCATGGACGTTTCCGTTCTGGGTACTTCGCCTCGGCCGGCGGTGTTGAGTCTTCCCTCCTCTGAGCCTCATTATTGACACGGAACTTGCCGGTCTGCGGGGCTCGCCTCTGCAGCTGGCACACTGTGCCGAGTTCCGTGAACTGTCTCGGCGGCGGCCGCGGAGTGCGGCTGGACGGACCCCGTCTGAGCGGAGTGCGGCTGGACCCGGTCTGAGCGGAGTGCGGCCGGACCCGGTCTGAGCGGAGTGCGGCTGGACGGGTCCGGCGGGTGGACGGCCGGACCCGGTCTGAGCGGAGCCGACTGCACTCTGTTCGGCACGGCTGGACTGCAGAGAGCGGAGAGCGGCCGCCTGTGGACGGCCGAGCGGCGGCCGCTGACACCACCGGCAGCTCAGCGGCTGCCGGCTGCTACCGACTGCTGAAACATACTGCCGAAACAGACTGCCGGAAAAGACTGCCGGAACAGACTACCGAAACAGACTGCCGACTGTGCTTAGCAGGGCCACAGACGGTAGCACAGGGCTCGCAAAGATCCAACGAGCGACTCAAACCCCACCTGGGATGGCGAATCTCAGCCGCGCCCGGCCCACTCCACTCTCTGCCAGAGACGGCATCCAGAGTCGACTGGGCGCCGGGCGGAGTCGGCGCGGCGGCGCCCATTGTCGATTCGACGTGTGGCCGTGGCGCGCCGCCGCCCAGTTACCATGAGCGCGCCGTTCCTGGCGCGCGGATTACGGGCGAGTTCGGTGACCGCCGCGCCGCCCGCTTGCAGCCAGCGCCGCGGTCGTTTGCATAGACGGCCGGTTCTCCGGCGTCGGCGGTGCCTGCCTGCGCGCCTGCTCTGACGGATGGCGCGGGGAGGTGACGATCAAAGTAGGTCGGACGTTGAGGCGGAACCGCCGCCGGCCGCGCCGCTCGTGCAGGCAGAGGTCGTTGGCTCGTGAGCTGTGACGTCACCGTGCGCGGAGCCGGACCGGTCTCATGGCAGAAGTTGTCCAAATGCAGCCGGTGTTAGACCAACTCTCCATGTCAAAAGTCCGCGGTTATTGTGTAGAACCGAGTCTTGTTTGACAACACGGGATGCCTGGGATATTTATCCGGTGGCAGTTGATGCGTCATTGCAGCTGTGAGTGGTCATTAGACATGAGGCCCACTAGCCACCTGTCCCAACAAGGAAGCATTACTTAGCATCGCACCAGTGTGCTATAATTAGAAGCTCGGATCAGGCTAACTCTTCGTGGAGATCATGAAGCAATCACCGCAAGAACGTAACGTTGAGTACCGGTCAGGCGTCGCGCAGATTCTTTGACGAGAGGCATTTAAAACTAGGCATCTAATCTTTACTGGGGTTTCCGCGTTTTGATATTCCATGACTTAGTCCAAAGTAATGACTGATTTCAAGCTTTTACGACTAGACATCTTAATTCAAGGTAGGTACGTTTTTTTCGGCTACTAATCGTTTATTGTTTTCGTTTCGTTTCGAATTGTTTCGAAGCGAAAACAATAAACAACCAGTAGCCAAAAAAAAAGCGTACCTACCTTGAACAAAGTAATGACATCCGAGCATGACAAATGATTTATCATGTTGAGTGTTGGCTTCATCCAGAAAGCTGGCAGACCTCTAGAAGTAGGTAAGCCCAAAACAGCCTGCTGGCCCGTCTCTTGTCTCGTGGATCAGGGTCTGGCAGCATGAGCTGCCCTCTTCTAACACCATTTATTTATTTGTCTAATTTCAGATGGGGTTAAATGTCACTGGTCTCTCACATCTATCTCACAATGTCACCCTGACGAAATTCTCCGTCTGATTCCAGAGCAAAATGTGGTGCTGGCCGACTCCAATACGTCGTCACCCAACAAAACATTCGTGCCGTGCCGCGTGTGCGGCGACAAGGCGTCCGGTTACCACTACGGCGTCACCTCCTGCGAGGGATGCAAGGTGAGCGTCTGACGTCAGAGGGGGTGAGCGTCTGACGTCGGTGGGGTGAGCGTATGACGTCAGAGGGGGTGAGCGTCTAACGTCAGAGAGGTGGGCGGTGAGCGTATGACGTCAGAGGGGGTGAGCGTCTAACGTCAGAGAGGTGGGCGGTGAGCGTCTCACGTCCCCCGCTAGTCGGCCGTGACGTCACACACTGAGGCAGCTGTGCCGGGATGACGTCACAGCTCTGACGAGGCACGGCCGAGCCCGTCGCCTTGGCGAAGCCACACCTCTGTGGGGTCGATAACCTTGTCGCTGCAAAAGTGAAATATCATTTGTTTGCGTTTCCTGAAAACGTGTAATTTGTAGCACAGGAGCCGGCGACAAACGGGGGCGTAACCTGCCACCACTTTTTGGCGTATAATTCAGTCCTCTTAAACGTTCGTTACTGTGAAAACATCAAACAGCTTTTAAAAACACTTCACAAATTATGGTAGAAGTACTACAATTATTTCATGTTTTTTCATGGTATGAGCCTGCGTGAGACGAGGTCCAACTTGATAATCTGAATTTATAAACTACATATCCGCCACCTAACTACTCGTCGGGTTTCTTATCCAGTTTTTGTTTGTTTGTTTGTTTGTTTGTTTGTTTGTTTGTTTGTAGCTTTATGAAAAGCATGTGAAACATGCTGTCAAACGACACTGAAAACTGACATCAATGTATTCAGTATCCACGTAAACCATTTAGCACTTACGAGCCAAAATAGATGTGGTGGGGGTAGTAACGTCGGAAAAACAAGCTATTCTGAAACGTGGCACGTGCTGCACCGTACTGAGAGAGGATCAGAGCTGATGCCGCCAAAGAGACGCGGTACTCCTTGTCTCAGTCTGTCTCACTCAGTCGACAATAATATAATGTAGGGAAGTAATCTTGGCCGGGGTTCGCCAGAGACAGCAGCGCCGGTATGTGCCGCAGGAGTGTGGCTCCCGAGGCGCAGTATTCCTCGCAGCCTCCGGCCCCACTCAGCGGGCCCGGGGAGGTGTGGTACTGCTCCCCAGCTCCCGCCCCCGTCAGCGGGCCCGGGGAGGCTACCGCGGTACTGCTCCCCGGCCCCCGCCCCGGTCGGCGGGTCCCCATAGGCGCGGTATTGCTCCCCGGCTCCCGCCCCAGTCAGCGGGCCCGGGGAGGCGCGGTATTGCTCCCGGCCTCCGCCCCGGTCGGCGGACGGCGGGCCCGGGGAGGCGCGGTACCGCTCCCCGGCTCCCGCTCCATTCAGTCGGCCCGCCCGGGGACTGCAACGCCGCGGCGGCGGCGGCCTGCGCTGGTAGGCTGCACCGCCGCACACCACGCTCCGGGGAGACTGCAGCGGTGGCCAGGAAGGGAACACCGCGCGACGGGGCGGTGCCGCCCGAGACCTCCGCGAGGCTCACTGCGCCGCCGGAGCGTGACTTACCCGATTCTTTGACGCATCGAATGATGTATTAAGCTGATTATCGATGTCAACGAGCTAAGAAAGTGAACATCCCAATCAAAAACTTCGGCATTTGCAAATATCTGTTTCCGTCTGATTTTCATGGTTGTGGTTCGGTAATATTGCCGGTAGGAAGCTACCAGATAAGACCAATAAAGTTGTACATCGAAATAATTTACAAATATACATGAAGTAGACAGAAGAGGTTCATTTACAGCAAGCCGTTGCTTTTATGCCTAAACAAACAAAGCTCGCAGATTTTGATAGTCGGATTAACCCTCGCCCGCACATGGGGGGGGGGGGGTGGTTGCCACCCCCCCCCCCAGGCAGTCTTTCTAATCTGCACTCAACATTTTTTAGGTAGAAGGCTGATTTTTCGTATAGCTGCTCGTCTATCCTTTCTTGATGTCCACTGAAAATTTCAAGTTTCTGTGATTTTTGGTTTCGGAGATATGACCTTGTTTTTCAGGTCATGTCATGACCCAAATGGCCAATTCTCAACATCTTGCGTTTGCCATGGGCCTTGTGAGCTTTTGACACCCTGATTTCGGCCTTTTTTGCCAGTCTTACCTCCCACCTATCATGGAACATGTTGTTCGACGATGTACAGGGGTCAAGGTCAGGGTCAAGGTCAACCTAGGTCATCTAAGATAATTGCGTTTTAGGCAAGCTGAATTTACTTTTTGTGAAGTTTTTTGACTGCATTTTTGGTAAAAGCTTCTCGGATCATGATTTCATGTGATATGGACCCAAAAACAATCGGTGCACACATCAGTATACACACAGACACACACAGACATACAAACACATATAATTGACCTTGACCTAACTTGACCTGAAATGACCTCAGCAGCAAAATTCTGGTCGGATAGTGTGACAAAGAGGTTCTAGCTGGCTTGGCACCAGAAAACAGCATCGTCATCGGTATTTGATCAGCAGCGCACTTGATATCCAACGGTGACCCAAAACAGCAACATTTTTTAGTTTGACCTGACCTAGAAGGTCAATGACTGACCTGAGAAGGTAAAACTGGGTATCATTGGATTCGTCTCTTCCCAAAGAATCTTTTTGGTCTTTACTGCTAAGCTCTATCTCCAACAGGAACCAAATGGCGCGGGGGGGTGGCAACCACCCCCCCCCCCCCATGTGCGTTCTAGGATGGGAAAATGGCATGTGCGGGCGAGGGTTAATGAAGTCAGAGCCCACATCAATCATTACTTGCTGCACCAACCGGACTGCAGAGCGCAGGGTGCAGAGTGCAGACCCTGCAGCCACCCGTCCGACCGGGAAATTCCCGGTGTTCATGAGCATTTCAAATCAAAATTAACATGACTAACGTCTAGTATCTAATGACTAGTGTCTGATGGCGTGATGCCAGTGGACAGAATCTGTGTCCACTCACCGCGCGGTGGAATGGCCGCGGGTGCTCTCACCAGACGCAGGCCACTCCACTAACCAGTCTACTGTGTTAATCGAGCAACAGAGCGACTCGAACGCGGACTGTCGCCACCGAGAGCCCAACGCTCTACCGACCGAGCTATGGGGCGGAAACTTAATCAATGGGTGAATTGGTTCGTCTTCTATTTCTGTTAAGGTTTTAGGCAAAGGGAAACCTTCATCCAAAATATGCGGGCTTTTTTAGCTCAACATGGAGCATGAAGCCAATTGGAGTTGTCACGCAGGTTTCAAGTTCGGTACTTCATTCCTGACACCGACATTGTAACATTGACACACAGTTATTGATAAAGACACATTTCAAAATAGCAATGATCTAAGCAGAAAGCACGGCTAACTGTTAACCCCAAATCATTCAGTACAAAAGACTGACTCATTTTCCAGGTATTCATGGACAGAGATACCTACATACTTAGGGGAGACCCGGGAGGTATGGGCCGGTTTTGTGAAATGGTAATTTTTCCAGTGGGCAGTAGTTAGATCTGGTTTTTCACTCTGTGTACGTGATATCGCCTTTCGCCTGTAAAGTGTGCCTGATATTAGGCATCTGGGATCAACTATTTTGTCTCGAGAGAACTTTTAATAAATCATGCGTTTTTTCGATCCATCAAAATACACCGCGGGAGGATGGGCCATGGCCCGGGAGGTATGGACCGGTGTCATGTTTCATATTCTTTTCTCAACATTGAGAACAATACTCGTAGCTGGGACCTTGAGCTCTCTTAGAGCCCAGGAACCGCAGAAGCGGCCAACAGCTTACTTCCTGGAGGTCACTAATCACTTGGGCACATATTTATTATGGTTAACCCAATCGTGTTCCATGAAATAAGACAAACAACATTTTTCTGTTAAAATGCCATTCGTAGTCAAATTTTCGCCCTTGCGAGACAAAAATAAACTTATTGACGGGGACATTCAATGAAAGCATCTTTTTATTTATTTATATAGGATCAACGGGGTTGGGTGGCCCGAACCTCCCGGTTATGACGCCAGATTGCGCGTAGCATCTCAGCTCATAATCTTGCAAGAAAGCTTCAAATTGTCTATCCAGTCTTAATTTGCACGCTTTAAACTTTGTGTTGGCGATGGTCTGACACCATATAACGAGCCTGGTTCACGTTGATCACGAGTTTTCTTTATGTACCGTATTTTACTCGAAGAGGGCAAAACGCTTTTTCACCGCCCCATTGCCAAAGAAGACCGAGGAAAATTTTGGAAATCACGTGGGTTGCGTAACGAAATGGCTGCTACCAGCTTACGTGGTCAAATGTGTAAAAATACGCAACACTTCTTCAAAACAGCGATGGCCCATACCTTCCGGGTCTCCCCTACTCACCTTTGCAAGAATACCATTCATGTGTGTATCTGCCAGTTATTAGTCGCCCAGCATGGCCTATTGGCTGTCCCAAAACCTCCAAAATCTGAAAAACAGCAAAACATAGTCGTTAGTAATGACGTATCTTTCATATCTGACATGAAATTGACAAGTAATTATATCTATACCATGGATAGAAGTTACGAACTAAGTGGAATTGGCATACTTATGTGTGAGAGTGTATATGTGTAAGAGAGGGAGAGAGAGGGGGAGAGACGCGTAAAGAAAGATACGTTTATCTTCATTTTTATCTTTATGTTTTCGAAATAAATGGCACGATCCCTAACCTTGCGATGACCACAATTTGACGTATTTTTGTAGGTACGTCCAGTGAGAGATGTCAAACGGTGAAACACTATGTTTCCAAATATTAATGAATCAGTGCTCCAATCAAAACTATGCAGTGACCTGGTAAAAAACTCAGAGAAGGGGTCTGGCGAATGACGAAGGTGTGGGCTGTGGCTATCTGAGGAGATCCCACAACCCTCCCAGTGGGTGTCCGGAGCGTCCCCCGGTACTGGTCTGGCACTGAACACGCTCTGCTGCCAGTGTCGATGTGCGAGTGATAACTGACAGGTGTCTTCCTTGTGTTTCAGGGGTTCTTCCGAAGAAGTATACAGAAACAAATAGAATATAGATGTTTACGAGAAGGAAAGTGTTTGGTGATACGCTTAAATAGAAATAGATGTCAATATTGTAGATTCAAGAAATGTTTAGCTGTTGGGATGTCCAGAGATTGTAAGTATTTCGCTGCATCCGTTTGCATATACCTAAATGCCACTCATTGTGTGTGCCGTTTTCCTGCCCGATAACCCAGGCATAATTTTTGTGCTTTCGAGTTCTAAAGAAGTGCAGAAACTACAATGTGTGTGCAGAATAAAACGTAACTAGGTATTTGACGCGAGTAGGTACTTTGAACTCATAAAGGATGTATTTTTTTTTTTTTAGAAAACACGTATCATTAAGTAAAGGAATACTGATTACATGATGGTCAAACACCAATGTGATTACCGGACCCATGTTGAAATAAACTAGATCTATGAACGCAGCTGCAACTTTCATTTTCGTCCTCGCCATTAAATATTTTTGAAGCTGATTTATGGTCCTGTAGTTGACGTCCGCTATGGTGTACGGCCTCTCTCCTATCCACCCGAACTCTCTACCGCCGCGGCTATCTTGTGGACCCGACGCGGTCCTCCGCTGCTGCAGCTGCCTCTCTCTCCACAGAGGTATACAAAGACGCATCTCCCCTCTCCCCAGACGTTTCTCTGACCCTCCCCCTCCCCTCTCCACTGCGGTACACAGGTCCCCCTGACACCTCTACCTCCCCACAGCGGTACACAGGTCCCCCTGACACCTCTCCCTCCCCACAGCGGTACACAGGTCCCCCTGACACCTCTCCCTCCCCACTGCGGTACACAGGTCCCCTGACACCTCTCCATCCCCACTGCGGTACACAGGTCCCCCTGACACCCTCCCCAGAAGAAGTCCCTCTGACCACCCCCTCCCCTCTCCACATACACAGGTCATATCTCCCGCTCTCCCCCGGAGCTCCCTCTGACCCCCTCCCCCCGCCCCCAGCTGTGCGGTACGGCCGGGTACCGAAGCGAAGTCGGGAGCGGTGCGAGCTGGAGGGCCGCGTGCCCAGCTCGGACGACGACCAGTCACGGGACATGGAGACCAGGCAGCTGGCCATCTATGACGTCATCCTGACGGTGTCGCAGGCGCACCACGCCCACTGCTCTTTCACCGAGGAGAAGACGCGCTCGCTCACCCGGAGGCCGGCCGTGTTCGTAAGTGGGCCCGCACTCCGCAGAGCGCCGGCGGGTCGTCCGCCGAGCTGAGCTGCGTGCGGCGGATGAATAAACAGTCCCTGTATCCGAGTCTACTGACCGATAGTCGATAGGGATGCAGTGGTGACGTCACGAGGTAGTCTACAGGGCTGCCGGGCGGCCTCACTCGAGTCTGGCCGTATACATGACCGAGGAGCAGAGGGGCGATTACAGCGCCGCCTAGAATATCCTGTGCCGCCCTCTGCTCCGCCCATCACTTTACAATACCACTGACTCGGCGCACAGTCTACATTTGCAATCGTCTGCAATGGTCACGAACTCACGAGACGACTCTCCCGTCTCAGTGTCGTTGACATTTTGAGGCTTCCAGCCCGTAATATGGAATGAACTCCAATGATTGACTAAGAAGCGTTGGCTGTCATTTGCCAAACAGTGGCTCACGGTCCCACCTGGGGTAATAAAACCCTTTTGCGGGCGTAGACCCACTGAGCTCAGACACTGTGCTGGTAGGTGCTTCGCCCCTGTTTTTATCCCTCTACACCTATAATGTAAAAGTGCGGGTTCTGAAAGCCCTCACATTAACAAATTGCTTACTATGTGTAAATCCATCCGATTAAGGGTATGATCGTGATTCGTGAGCTCAGCAGGCGAGCGTTTTCCCCTCTGATGATGTAGCTCCCTCTTCTACACCCTCTCGACACCAATCGTAATTGATGGTCGTGCGGTTTTCACATAAAGTGGATCAGTTGTAACTTGTAACTGTTTGCCTTCCACCTGTGGCCGTCCCGCCGCCGTCGCTCGGTGCGGGACTATGGGACGCGCGCCGGCCGCTGACCGCGCCACCTGTCGGCAGGACTTTTCACCGCCGTCGGGCAGCGCAGATGGCGCCACCTCCACGGCCGAGGCCGCCGAGCACCGGCGCGTTGTCGTCTGGCAGACGTTCGCCGCCATGCTCACCCCGTCCATCCAGAGGGTGGTCGAGTTCGCCAAACGGATACCAGGTACGAACCAACACTCCCCGCTAAACAAATACCAGGTACGAGTTAACACTCCCCGCCCCAAACGCAGGTATGAGTTGACACTCCTCGCCAAACGGATACCAGAAACCAGGTCAATCTCCAAACGGATACCAGGCACGAATCCGCTCCCAAATGGATACCGGGTACGAGTCCGACCTAACAAATGGATACCGGATACGAGTTCGACCTAACGAACCGATATCGGGTAGAATTTCAACACGATGCAAACTTGACTTTTTCTGGGAGATAAGCAACATGAATGACTTCTTTGAATTTCAGGTTTGCTGGAGGCCAGGGGTAATCTATCGCCTCTCTCCTGAGCCATACCTTGCTAATGCGCTGCCGTTCGTTAATCATTACTAGCCCAAAAGTCATTATAGCCACATAGCTAGTCAACTTAAAGCTGCATCGGTTAAAAGCTCCTGACTTCGACTCAGCGCCCCTGCCGCCGCGCCCTGGCTGGCGCGCAGCGCTGTGCCGCGGCTCCTGGTCATAGAGCGCAGGGCCGGCTCCTGGCTGTCACCTCTGCGGGCCGTGCTCGCGCCCGGGGCCGCCTGTTCCCGACCGGCGACCGCTGACACAGCTGTGTGATCGCTTCTGAGGAGCTCTGCTCACGTCTGGTCCGCTGCGTGGGCCGGTCGACAGACTGGGGACGGGCATAACCACTGTTCGGAGAATGGGCTCAGCTGGCGGCCCATCGACTGCAGGCGCCGGCCGTTGATGGGCCGCAGCTGTGTGCCAGATAATACTCGCTTCAGCAACTCCGGGGACCCAGGCCCAATGGAAATCTACATAGCAAACAATATACAATCGGGAGAGCGCTTGCCTTTAGAGCGATGCCGATTGAAAGTCTTCAATGGATCACGTACCGTTATCATTTCAGCTATTTGATATAAAAACAGCTTTTAGCTCTTAAGGTAGGTAAAATTACTTCTCCGAAAGGTGATTTTCTAAACTGAATGTCTACCATTAACGGGGAAATGACAGGCCACAGCTCTGGACATGCCTTCTTGTGTACCTAATCTGTCCACTGTCCACAGTGGGCAGCCGATCTCCCAGTGGAAGATAACAACATAGCACGGTCTCTTGTCATATCAATTTGGGTCCGTGTCCAGTCCATGCCTTTAGCGAGCCTCTATCATCCTCCCCCCCCCCCCAAGTGGATTTTCTGGAGCCGCGTCGTCTTCTGACCGCGACTCGTTCCACGTGCAGGTTTTCTGGAGCCGCGCCGTCTTCTGACCGCGACTCGTTCCGCGTGCAGGTTTTCTGGAGCTCAGCCAGGACGACCAGCTGATCCTGATCAAGGCGAGCTTCTTCGACGTGTGGCTGGCGCACGCGTCTCGTCTGGTCAGCCCGGTGGACGGCACGGTCACCTTCTCGGACGGACAGTACATCGGCCGACAGCACCTCGACATCATGTTCAACGTCAGTGGCCAGCCACGGCGGACCCCCGGCGGTGGCTGGACGGGGTTGGACGGGGCAGGACGAGGACGGGACGGGACGGGTCAGACCGCAGACGGACGGAACAGGTCACACGGGACGGGACGGGTCAGACAGGACGGGACGGGTCAGACGGACGGCGTAATCGCCACGCCATATGTGGAAGGCTTGTTATGTCAATACATACATACATACATACATACATACATACATACGGGGCAGGACGGGGCTGGACGGGGAGCGGTGGGGCGGGACGATGCGGAGTTGGACGGGACGGAGTAGGAAGGGACGGGACGGGACGGGACGGGACGGAGCGGAGTAGGACGGGACGTGCCTATGTAGGACTGGACGGGATCGGGATGGACGGGACGAGGCTGGACGGGGCTGGACGGGGAGCGGTGGGGCGGGACGAGGCGGAGTTGGACGGGACGGAACGGGACGGGACGGGACGGAGCGGAGTAGGACTGGACGGGGTAGGGATGGACGGGACGAGGCTGGACGGGGCTGGACGGGGTAGGACGAGGACGATACGGGACGGGGTTTGGACGGGATGGGGCAGGACGGGGCAGAGCTGTCCCAGGGATGGAGGGGGTCGGGTCAGACGGAGATGATCGTGTCAATAAGAGACGTGTATGAACTGTTCGGACGGGCGTCAGCAGCTCCCTTTTTCTCTGGTTTTGCCGGTTTTCTCAGTTCCTGCTTTACCCGAACGACGAGTTTGTTCGATCAATGAATATAAAAGTAAAGCAGCGGACATTTTCAGCTGGAACATCTTTTTTTGCGTTCATCTAGCGTTAAGGGTTAGTAGCAGTGTATGTAGTGTATGTGGTAGTGTATGTGGGTAGTAGCATGGCTATATCTTTGATTATCTCTATAAAGATAATTGGCTGGCGGCGACGACCGATTTGCCCTTTGTCTCTATTTTATTACTGCTAATTTTGCTGTTAGTCTGGTCACTAAGACCCACGGAGGCATTCAAGGCAACTTGAGGGCGAAATTGACAGATAAAAGGAACAAATGCATGAATGAAATACGAAAGATAAAACCTAGCAACCAATGTCCGCTGATCGCAGTGACCAGGTCTGTTGCCCGCAGAGTGAGCTGACCACGGTCCGTTTCCCGCAGTGAGCTGACCAGTGTCTGTTGTGCCCGCAGAGTGAGCTGACCAGTGTCTGTGTCCCGCAGAGTGAGCTGACCACTGCCGTGTTCGGGTTCTGTGTCGGCCTGAACGCGCTGAAGCTGAACGATACGGAGGTGGCGCTGTTCTGTTCGGTGGCGCTGATGGCCTCCAGCCGGCCAGGCGTCACCAACGCCAAACTCGTCGACGCCCACCGCGACAAGCTGCTGGAGGCGCTGAAAATCCAGGTGCGCCGCGGCGGCCGGCCGTAAATATCGCCTTGTGGGGATTTATAAATAAGTCATTTATAACTGCAGATCCTGAGCAATATACATCGCTCTAACGCCTAATAATTCAGCTTGCCATCATGGAGGCCATTGCGATCGTCGTATGAGTCTTGCTACGGCTTTTACGAGGGGGGGGGGGGGTTAAAATGGACCTAGCGGCCCGTTCTTTCGCTCTGTGTCGGCCACTGACGGCCGTCCCGTGCTCCGCAGCTGGCGCGGAACCACGTCTCGGAGCAGAACATCTACAACACGCTGCTGCTGAAGCTGCCCGAGCTGCAGGCACTGGGCCGCCGCCACCTGGAGCAGCTGCACTGGTACCGCGCCCGCTGGCGGCACCTCCAGCTGCCCGCACTGTTCGCAGAGATATTCGACGTGCCCCGGCACGAGACGGAGGAGCTGGCGCAGTGACCCCGCCCGGTGAGCAGCGGTGAGCGGGGTACACACAGCGGGGGAGGAGGGAGGGAGGAGCTGGCGCAGTGACCCCGCCCGGTGAGCAGCGGTGAGCGGGGTACACACAGCGGGGGGGGGGGGAGGGAGGGAGGGACGGGCGGGCAGAGGGCCGAGAGACGGAGACGGCCATCTGGGGTGGGAAGACAGGGATTAGACACTGGGCTGCGGCAGTGAAGCTGGCGCGCTGTGGCGGCTGAGCAGGAGCTCGCTCCGTCTGGCCGGCAGGGTCCCGGCGCGACAGGGCACCCGGTTCACTCAAACGGTCTCTCCGAATGGATGTGTCCCTTTGAGGCCTGCCCTTCACCGGTGTGTAGGTGGGGTGAGGGTCGCCTCGGACAAGGCGTGCGGGCTTGGCAGGGCCAGCGGCTGGCGCGGCCGCTCTTCCCTCGAACAGCCAGTGCGCGGGCCGAGGCGGCGCCATCTGCGCTAAAGGCCGCCTTCCGGAGCCGTTCCCACGTGTTCCATTTGGGATCCATCAACCAAGCGACCGGGCGGACTCGCCAGAAAATTGAGGCGCCGCCTCAGGCGGTGGGGTACGCGCTAGCGAAGCCTGCCGCTGCTAGCGCCACCTACACGGTTCAGCACGCCACGCTGGGGAGGAGCCAGTAGCGCCACCTACACGGCCCAGCGCTCCGCCGTCAGCGCCACCTACACGGCCCAGCACTCCGCCGTCAGCGCCGCCTGCAGCCAACCTCAGCAGACCTCGAACCCATAGACAGACAATGTCGAACAAATGTGGGTCTCCAAGCCGATGATGGCCGGTAGCGTTAAGCGAGGTTATTCCGTGCTGAATCGATTTATCGTTTATTCAGGGCAGCTGCCACATTTCCCGGTACATTCCATCCATCGACTCTCACTGGTCGACGTTCGCCGCCTGTCGGGAACTAACCGTCCATGACCGGTGGCTGACAGACCGCCGTCGATCGCCATCAGATTTCCTCTCAGCGAAACTCACAACGGTGGCTTGGACTGCCTTCAACAACAACCGCAGTGCCTGGAAGTGTGGCGCCGCCGGGCGGGTGACCGGCGGCTCCGGCCGGGGAGTGGCTGCCGCTGGTATGCCGCGCACCAGCCACCTTCCGGCCCCGCTCCCTCTCCCAACGGCGGAAATCCGGAAAAGCCGCCGAGATGAATTCCCACGCGGCCCGTAAGCCGTCGAAAAATGCGGCCGTTTCCGTCGGGTGTGGTGGAGATTACGGGCGAGAGTCTGCCGGGCAGTGGCGGGGGCTGACGGAACGGTCGCCGCTCACCGGGGTATCAGGGTCCGACCTGCCGGCCCTGGGGACAGGGAGGAGACCGGCCGTCCGGAGACACCGCGCCGCTCCGGCCCCGCGCGCTGCCAGCCCGGCCACTAAAGGCCGAATACCGAGCTGTGTCACCGGTTCCGGCTCGCCGCTCCAGCGCCAGTGGCGCAGCCAGGGGGGGGTCAGAGGGTCAGCTGACCCCCCCGAAATTTTTGTCAGGGGCCCGCTCGAGAGAGAGAGAGAGAGAGAGAGAGAGAGAGAGAGAGAGAGAGAGAGAGAGAGAGAGAGAGAGAGAGAGAGAGAGAGAGAGAGAGAGAGAGAGAGAGAGAGAGAGAGAGAGAGAGAGAGAGAGAGAGAGAGAGAGAGAGGAGAGAGAGAGAGAGGAGAGAGAGAGAGAGGTCCTAATCTAATCGGACGAGCCCGCTTCGAGAAATGCCCACTGCGACACCTCGGGTGAGGGGTCGGCCTGGGGCCCCAGGTGGACAGGGCCCGGGCCCCGGGTGGATGGAGCCCGGGCCCCCAGGAGAACGGGCCCGGCCCCCTGGGTGGATGGGACCCGGGCCCCCTGTAGATGGGTCCGGGCCCCGGGTGGATAGGGCCCGGGCCCCCCGGTGGATGGGGCCGGGCCCCCCGGTGGATGGATCCGAGCCACCGGGAGAACGGGCCCCGGGTGGACGGGGCCCGGACCCCCGGGTCCCGCGAGAACGGGTCCGGGCCCCTCGGGTGGATGGGGCCCGAGGCTCCGGGAGAACGGGCCCGGGCCCCCTGGGTGGAGGGGGCCCGGGCTCCCGGGTGGATGGGGCCCGGGCCCCCGGGAGAACGGGCCCTGAGCCCCGGGTGGACGGGGCCGGACCCCCGGTTGGATGGGGCCCGAGCCCCGGGAGAACGGGCCCGGGCCCCCTGGATGGATAGGGCACGGGCCCCTGGGTGGATAGGGCACAGGCCCCCGGGTGGATGGGGCCCGGGCCCCGGGAGAACGGGCCCGGGCCCCTTAGGTGGATGGGGCCAGGGCCCCCCGATGGATGGGTCCGGGCCCCCGGGAGTACGGACCCCAGGCCCCGGGTGGACGGGGCCCGGACCCCCGGCTGGATGGGGCCCGGGCCCCCTGGTGGGCGGGCCCCGGAGCCCCGGGTGGACGGGGCCCGGAGCCCAGGTGAACGTGGCCCGGGCCCCCGTATGGATAGGGCTTGGTCCCCCATGTGGATAGGGCCCGAGCCCCCGGGTGAATTGGGCCCGCTAGGGTGACCCGCTTGCTTCGCAACGCGAATAAGGGGTATTTTCGATCGGTGGGCGTTTGGTTGGTCTTATGTCTGTGGGTTATGTATCCATTTCGGTCGATTGCCTTTTGACGGCTAAGCATTTTGGTTTTGGGAAAAAATATCCATCGCATCGAGGTGCTCGTGTCTGATAATAACCATGCGTTCTACTATAGAACATGCCAAGTGTATTTCATGACATAGGTTGGCGTAGGTTATTGAAGAGTGAAAGCCATCGATGAATTACTATGTAGAGGTTTGAAACATTTATATTCTTAAGAACATTGTTGCTCGTCATGCAAAAGCGATGATTGGACCTTGGTCACATTTGAATGCTCTTCCAATCTATGCCCATTTCAATTGTCAAACATACCAGGTTATGTAGCAAAACCCCTGTAATTAAGTAAGTCATAAGCAAATGCTATTTTCTCCAGCAATTTGTTCCACCTTGTTTTTGATCAATTAGCTTTTCACAATTTTCCCATGAGAGGCGGTAGGTAGTGGTACATTTCTCTTGCCAACAAGCGTTGTTTGAACCCGCTCCGTCTGACAGTCACCCAAAAATAGCATTAAGTCCAAAATCCGTCCAAAACGTCAATTTTTCAAGCATAAGTGCCCTCACGGGTGCACGTGGCGCGTGCCATCCCTGCACCGCACACCATACAATAGCCCGTTCGATTCTCATGCACGATACTGTGTTCCTCGTGCCGATCGGACCCACGGTTACCGAGATACTGCACGGGGATCGGACCCGTGTCGGGCAAGTTGAGCCATTGTCGCCCAATTTTGCAAGCCGATTTATGCATGTAAAGTCTATGACGCGAATTTGCACTTTTTGAGCACGCGCCATGTGCTCACCACCGGCCCGATCGAGCTGTGACCCTTCACAGGCACGTTACCCATCCTTGTTCTATAAGTTGCGCGAATTTCAGCGCACTATGGAAGTTACGTCGCGATCAGCCGCTTTTTTACGCGAGTTCTTCGCGAAAAAAAAAACCTTAGGGGGTTGCATCAACCCCTCCCCCTGTGCCGGCGAGGGTTAAAGCTTCTTACGAGCGAATTCACGTAATGAAGAAGAATAAAGGCACAATCTACTACAGCAGCCAATATCTATGACTTAGGACAGGCGGGGAGCATTCATTCTGGCCAGGGTTCATAATGTCCAGGGTACGCTATGCCCAGTGTCAAAATGGCCAGTGCCTTGAATGGGCCAGAGTTCATAATGTCCAGGGATTGCATGGTCCAAATGTGGCCAACTGGCTGCAGATAGGGTATATTCAAAGAGGCCAGGGTTCATAATGTCCAGGGCACGATGTGTCCAGTGTTCAAAATGGCCAGGGTTCATAATGTCCAGGGCACGATGTGTCCAGTATTCGAAATGGCCAGGGTTCATAATGTCCAGGGCACGATGTGTCCAGTGTTCAAAATGGCCAGTGCCTTGAATGGGCCAGAGTTCATAATGTCCAGGGATTACATAGTCACTGAAAGTGACGTCATTATGTAAAAAACACGGAATCGGCTCAATGCAAAGCAGTGCAGTGCCGAAGGCAATGCCTTAGGAGAGATTACAGGCAATAGTAAATCAAATATTTTTAGGTTAAGTGGTTATGTATCTGGCTTCAGGCCGAAGGCCTGAAGCCTGATGCATAACCACTTAACCTAAAAATATTTGATTTACTATTGCTTGCAATCTATTCATGCGAGAAACTATTTCCTTATCCCTGGTAGGCAAACATCATTCCCTTAGGTTAGGTTAGGTTAGGTTAGGTTAGGTTAGGTTTGGTTTGGTTGGGTTGGGTTGACTATGTAATCCCTGGACACTATGAACTCTGGCCCATTCAAGGCACTGGCCATTTTGAACACTGGACACATCGTGCCCTGGACATTATGAACCCTGGCCATTTCGAACACTGGACACATCGTGCCCTGGACATTATGAACCCTGGCCATTTTGAACACTGGACACATCGTGCCCTGGACATTATGAACCCTGGCCTCTTTGAATTTACCCTATCTGCAGCCAGTTGGCCACTTTTGGACCATGTAATCCCTGGACAATTTGAACACTGGCCAATTCAAGGCACTGGCCAATTCGAGCACTGGACACATTGTGCCCTGGACATTATGAACCCTGGCCTAAATAATACGCACCCGGACAGGCACATGGGACTACTTTTAAATCTTGTGCGACAGAAGCAAGCAACAGTTCCGATTGCATATAACTATTAACTATGCAATCGGATATGCTATGCATATCCGATTGTTGTTAATATGCTATGCATATTGCGGAATTGGGGCTCATTTCGGACTCGAAAGATACGAAGTCATCCGTCATAGTAACATATTTCTGTCGTGGTCAATTTGCGTAAAAAGTGAAGACCAGGTGACTATCGAGCTACTGTTCTATGCAAATTTTCTGATTCAAACTACCTCAGGGTTATCGTGCAGGTAGGTAAAGTGGGCCCGCCCAGCAGAATGCGTATGAAATATGGAGAGATTCTGAAAAATGGGTGGGGGCCCGCACACTAGGGGGCCCGCTTTGGAAGCGATGACCCCCCCGAAACGAAATCCTGGCTGCGCCACTGTCCAGCGCGCTGCGGGCAGCGCCGCTAAAAGGCCTAGCTGTTTCACCGGCTCCGGTTGGGTGCTCCGGCGAGTAACAGCAGGGCCATGGAAAGGCCGATCTAACTGTCCACCGAAAACTTGTTCGGTGACACGGGGAAAGGGGAGAGAAAACGTTTATGGCGCTCAGTGTACAGGTCTCGCGGGTTTTAGCGGTAGGTTTTGCACCTAGAAAATTTAGTGTACTTCAAGCTATATCTTCGTGGTCTTAAGCTTTTAAGTGTTGAAGATCCGATCGACTTGTTGGTTAACAAGCCGGCCATGATCGTGTAAAATGGCTTCATCGTAGATCGATTAGTTTCTGAGATATAACCGGAAATGTAAAAGTGCAAAACCTACCGCTTAATCTCGCGAGAGCCGTACGTTTACGTACGTCATCCACCTAAACAGATAAACGGACTTAAATTAAAGGCTTCGGCTGAGATAGCCAGGCTGCGAAAATAGTTATACAGTTGTCTACCGAAATTAGGTACCAGCCGACCAGAAACAAAATTTCTGATAACGATGACAATGTTAACCGAATCAGACTGTGACCATCCCACCTTAACATTAGTTTTGAGTTGAGATAGCCAAAATGGGGTCCCTGGCTTGCACTTACCGGTTTGAGCACTCACAAGATCGAGGAATGCCTCAAATCGAAAATATCCAATTTCAAAGTTGCAGCACTTGGATTCAGAGGGGCTAATACATTAGAATGCGGCAGCGCTACCGATTCAAGCCCGGTAAAGCCTACCCTGGTGTTAACTGCATTTGCAGTGTCCTGTAAAAAAGAGCTTCTCATCGTCCTCTGCTGGGTCCTTAATCTGACGGTGACCTGCGCAATATCCATCTCATTATGTCCCGGGCACGGGTACACATAATTACACGGGGCCTGTCGGCAGGCCCCGACTTCCGAGAGCAGCTAATGCCCAAATCGATACCATACTCAATACTCATATCGACGAGAAACGTGCGGGCTCACGGGACACGGCGTTTTTCGTCAGCATGCTCTCATATAGCCACATACATATGGAGGCATCTATGCGGGATGCTTCTACACAAAAATCCAAGAACTGCATGTTCAAATGGCAATAGGCACCGATGGTTATACCTCTCCTTGTCAATTGTCATTGCTTTTTTTTTAATCCAGGTCCAAGGCAGAATGATGTTATGTTGGGTGAAATGATGCGTTTATCTGACACGCGTGGCAACCGATGGCAACAACGTCATAGAGGCCAGAAGAGGTTGTGTTTCGGGAACGGTTCACTGTGACTAACGCCCTCGCTCATGTTCCAGGCCAGTGATCTGCTCTGTGCTGGCGGTGCCGACTGAGGTGCGCCCGCCGTCATCCGGTCTGTGCGGCCACCGGGGTCTGATATCGGCACCCTCAGCCCACGACGGGACGACGGGGTCTGATATCGGCACCCTCAGCCCACGACGGGACGGCGGGGTCGGATGTCGGCACCCTCAGCCCACGACGGGACGACGGCCGGTCAGCGAAGGTCCGCAGGTGTTCGGCAGCAGTCGCTGGTCCGCCAGGAGCCGCCATATCAACGGGAGCGCGAGCGGCGGGGCACGGCGCGCCGCTCCGGTCCCCGGCTGCTGAGGGGCCGGTCCCCGGCTGCTGAGGGGCCGGTCCCCGGCTGCTGAGGGCCGGTCCCCGGCTGCTGAGGGCCGGTCCCCGGCTGCTGAGGGGCCGGTCCGGTCTGGTCCCCGGCTGCTGAGGGGTGGTCCCCGGCTGCTGAGGGGCGGTCTCCGGCTGCTGAGGGGCCGGTCCGCGGCTGCTGAGGGGCGGTCCGGTCTGGTCCCCGGCTGCTGAGGGGCCAGTCCCCGGCTGCTGAGGGCCGTTCCGGTCTGGTCCCCGGCTGCTGAGGGGCGGTCCCCGGCTGCTGAGGGGCCGATACCGGCCAGCCCGACCGCACAGGGGAGGCTCGCGGGGCTGTCGGACGTCCGTGACGCGTCACGGTGAACGTCACCGATCGAATTTGTCTTCTCAGCTCGCGTCAGAGCGTGTTCAAAGCGCGCGGCGGACAGACACTGCAGCGTTTGTCTAGCATTATTATACGGGTTACCGCACCTGTCTGTTGAAGGCCGCGCGTGCACCGGGTGCCGGCGGTGAGCCCGTTTCTAGGATGTCTGTGTGCTGGTTTGTGTGTGTGTGCGTTTTTGTGCGTGCGTATGTCATTTGCATGCATTATCACGTTTGGATTTGCTGCGCTTCGTTAGTTGTGAGACAACCTAGTTGTTGGTTGCTGGTAGCTGTGTGCGTCTTTAGGGCAGCGCGACGCGCTGGAACTGATGGGCATTTTGCGCGACAGTCGCGGACATATAGTGACACTGTAACTGGAGGGCATTTACGGCTGAGACGCCGTCGCGGTGAGACCGCGCTTCATGAGATAGTGGTGTGCCGCAGAGAGCTGACTGGGCCGGTCACACGGGAGCGGAGTGGGCCGTGCCAGCCCCATACGGGAGCCGGGTGGGTGGCCAGCAGCCGCGGGCCCGTCCCCGGCCGGCACGCGCCGCCCGGTCGGCAGCATTCCACGCGGCTTTACGGCGCTTTCCCCGCGCCGACGCGGGTCGGTGGGTGGTTCTCACGCTCGGCACGGTGTACTTGGGGTGATGCGCCGCGCGGTGACCTCAGCTAGTGTCTCCAGTCGGCCGGAGCGGCGACTCTGCAATCGCGGGCATTTGGTGGGGAGCTGGGGCGCGGTCGGAGAGGCCGTGGGTGCTCCGGCCGGGACCGGCGCGATGGGCCACGCCGTCGGCCGGCAGCCGGCCCGGCTCACGGCCTCTTTGTTATGCTTTGTAGGGCTGGGTAGGAGGTTACCTTTTTACTCAACTTTGATACATATACCTATATGGTTGTTCTGTTTGTTGGTCGGCTCTAATGTCTACGTGCCGTTGTTGTTTTGTTACGGCCCGGCTGAGGCTGCTTTGTTACGATGTTTGAGGTCACCTGTTCGCTCGTGCGTTTTGTTACCAGCTGCTAGATACTAGTTATTTTGTTAAAGCTTTTGTGAATATTGCGTATATCAAAAATATCCCCTAGCCATAGTACCTAATTATCCAATACCTACCTTTGCATACAAAATGTCGGCGTCGGTTGGCCCACGTCCGGCGGAAATCGTGTACATTTATGTATCATTTGTAGAAAGCGACGTTGTTAATATATTTGCATGATTTTATGACTAGTGTTTCACGGACTATGATCAACGTACCGTGTTAATCCTCTCCCCTACAGCGGATGCGTAGTTCTGCTCAAGTATGATATCTGGCTGAGCCGACTGTCTTCGGCGCAAGTACAAATATAGCTGTATTCTTATATGTAATATCCTAAATAACCAAAGCACCCCGAACCACGAGCAAATGCAAACAATAGGTAACATTTCAAGTTCGCGGAAACAGAAAAGTGATATGCCTACATTCACCAGACGCACTTTTTACTTCCGCTCGCGTCCACATGTACCTAGATAGATACCGCTGCGTATTATGCTTTACCACAATTGACTATCTCTTCGTCATAGGCGGCGGAACGGGGAGGGCACCGGGGGGCGGGGCACCGTGCCCCCCTTTGATTTTGATATTTTAACATTAGCCCTAATGGGCGTTGCATGGAAAGAATGGGACCAAAAGTCGGCAGTGCCCCCGCCCCCCCCCCCTTAATTGAAGGTGTTCCGCCGCTACTGTTCTTCGTGGCATTCAGCTGAGTGCATTGTTGAATGTTCAAAGTGCAAATGCCAAAGGTTTACCACCTTTGTGGCAAGATGAATGACCTCTAGCCCAGGGCTGCGGAGTCGGAGTCGGAGTCGGAGTCGGAGTCGGTCGGAGTCGACAGTTGTGACCGGAGTCGGAGTCGGAGTCGGAGTCGATTTTAGAAACCCGAGCCGGAGTCGGAGTCGGAGTCACCGAAAATCTGTCGATTCCGCAGCCCTGCTAGGTCTGCGGAGTCGGAGTCGGGAGTTGGAGTCGGTCGGAGTCGACAATTCTGCCCGGAGTCGGAGTCGGAGTCGGAGCTGGTTTTTGAAAGCCGGAGTCGGAGTCGGAGTCGGAGTCGCCGAAAATCCATCGACTCCGCAGCCCTGCTCTAGCCACGACTCTCTGCATCACTGAGAAGGAGTACCTAACAGTCGCTCACGCGGTCACACCGTATACTTGGAACGGCCAAACTTGTTCTGTGTTCAGCTCACCATAAATCTTACATGGTATACACGCATCGCGCACACACAAAAACAACAACAAAAGTGCTTTCTACGCGTAGGCATTCCACGAAACCTGGTAAAGTTACCCGATACTAAGATTGTGCGCCCAAAAGGTACCCTCACAATCATAGATAAGTACAGCTATTGCTACGTATGTGTTCCGGCGCGGGCGGTCTGGACAGGGCGACAGTCACAAGCAGTGAGCACATCAACATACTAATTCGCCATTCGGATAATACATGTTAGGAGATGGAGGATTCTTCATGGCTCCGAGCAGATGGATGAACAACGAGTACGTATGGTTGTGATGATTTCAGCTATATTTGAGGATAAAGGATTTTCTTCTATACTGAACTGACCACCCATGAAATATGATGCTGAATAAACTGTCTATATACCAATAAACTGCCTTTGGTATATAATTCTAGAACGCTAAAATGAATGGTCGTTGCCGTTGGTAACTCAATCGCTAATTTGGCCCACTTCATTTAGACCTAGTCTCTGCACTACGATATACCTACGAGTATGAACCGTTTGGCAGCCGCTCCCCGTTTGGCAGAATTGCTGCAGGCGGCTGCCGGCGCGTCGTTCCGCCGGTGGAATGCGCCGCGCCTGGGGTGTCCGTTTGCCCGGGGGAGGGGGGGGGGTGGGGGTTGATTTCCGCCCCCGGGATCTGTGCCGTGCCAGGCACGCAGCCTCAGCCCAGCGCGAGCTGAGCCCGGCGCCGGCTCACGCCCTGGCTCAGTCCGCCTCTGACACTTACATAACGGCTAATGACCAGATCAGCTGTTACATAACGGCGAACGCAACATTCCCTTCGGTCGTCAGCGGATACTGCTGCAGCGGGCCGACCATCCAGCTCTGCAACAAATTATGCAACTATACAACAGGCACGTATACGCGAACTAATGCCATCTCCAGTACGGATACGCAGAACATTTGAGTGAATGACGCGTCAAAATAGTAGGTAACTATGGTTCTCGTCGTATAGAAGGAAATCAAGATTACTGTAAGTGTATATGCATTATGTAAGTGTATTTTAACACGTCAAAAGATGGTATAGGTATGAAGTTATGAAAGAAACAAGTTCAGTAGGTATACTACGGAGTTTTGGGCGAAGCATTTGGCGACGCTAACAACGCAGCGCTAAATGCCAGTGAGCTGTCGAAAGTCCCAACAGCTAACGGTTCCCCATCCGCGCTAAATAAGAAGTCAAACTGCAACTCCGTTCCCTAGACCGCAGCTCCGCTGCAAAAGGTCAATCTAATTTTGTCGACTTCATTGCAGCCGGACTGGCTTCTAAACATAGGCTCACGACCGCTCACTATCTTCCACCTAGCGTACACGTGTGTTTGGTAGTTCCCTGGGCAAATGTATCGATACTGCAAATATTTGGCGTGTGTACTCGCGGAGCCCACAGGTCACCGGTGACGTCACGCCCATCTGGCGATCAATGTGGGCAGGAAAATATAGAGCAGCTGCCACGGCCGACATTCGCCACAAAATACGCAGCGCTAGGGACGCCCGCCCACCCGAGAAATATTTGGACGTGAAAGGGTGACGTAAGCCGCTGTTTACGCCCACATACTACACATTATACAGACCCATACGGCACGTAGTGTGACGTGGGCACGTTGAATGTGACGTAGTCGTAACGGTCATACTGCGAATTCGGACTTGTTTGTGGTGCCCGCGCCGGGACGATCTGTGGTAGTTTGTCAATCTTGGCGCCTTTCATCCCAGAACAGAGCAAATGAGCCAAATCAGCAGACTGCTCCCAAGTCCCAATCGACGCCCCGTTTCCCCCCGACGGGCTAGTGCGACGGCGCTCTGACCTCTGCCGAACAGGACAGGCCGCGAGCCGCAGCTCCGCCAGCTTCTTCTTCTTCTCTGCGCGGTCGCGGACCGCGCCTAGGGCGCGGCCGGCGGGGGCGGGTCGGTGGCGACCTGCACCCGCCCCACTCTTCTCAAGAAGTTGATGACATGTTCGGCCGGCCCCGAGAACACTTCCTCCAGGGTAGGACAGTGCCCCCAGAAGCCGGCCCTCGCCGCCACGTGTGCGGGGCACCCGACCAGGAGGTGCTCCACGTCCTCCTCCTCCTCGCCACAAGCTCGGCAGGTCGAGTCTGCGACCAAACCGAGGCGATGGGGGCTCGCTGTGACTCCGCCAGCTCCGCGGCTCGGCTCCGCCGGCTCACATGCCGCCGTAACGTCCACGGCGGCTCGGCTCACGTGCCGCGGTCAATCACCCGGCCTTGGAGGCGCCGGCCAAGGTCGCCGGCGTGTGCGGCCGCCGGAGGACCGAGCTCTCCGCCCTGGGACGGGCACGGTGGACCAGCCCCTCCGCCCTGTCCGGCGGGCGGGGACGGCCCTCTGCGCCGGCCGGCTCCTCTGCCGCGCTCCGCCCTGTACCGGTCCACCCCCGCTGTAGTACCCTGCAGCCGCACAGCAGGTCCGTGCTGTCTGCACTCTGCAGGGCCGGGCCGGGCAGCCGCCGCCGGGGTGTGTCCCCGGACCTCCGGCGCCGACCAGGCGTCACGTCTGGTGTGGGTCCGGGCTCCGGCGCCACCTCCGGGTCAGGGCGGAACCGGGCTCACCCGGGGCGCGCCTCCTACAGGCCTGCGGGTCCGCCCCGCCCCCAGCCGGTGTCGATGGCTTCTGTCGGCGCTGGTGCAGCTGTGACAGGGTCGGATCACTCGACTCTACAGGACGGGCCGCGCAGCGAGTGGGCGTATACAAACGGCGACATGTGCGCCCGCGCCGCAGCGGAGGCGGTCCGCCGCCCCCGCACCTGCCATGCGGTGGCCCGCAGCTGGGCGCCGACACGTGGGCGGGACGCGCCGCCTCGTGACCCGCGCCGAGCCGCTCTGAATAGTCGGCGGACCATGGCCCATCTACCACGCACTGTCACCAGCGACAGTGGGTGACGATTGGAGACGGCTGCCGCCGATACCGTGTACCCGGGGTTACGGCTCCACAAACGTCGCTCCGTCGGTCTCGACAAACGTTGTCTCTGTCTGTCTGTCTGTGTGTCTGTCTGTGTGTCTGGAGGCCGGTCGTCTAACCGCCCCAAATGGGTCACTTCCTGCTCCCGGCGCGGCCGGCGCCACCGGTCGGCGACTCGGCCCACCTTCCGGTCGCCGGTCGGGGCCGGGGGCGGCGTCCGGCGACCTCGGTGTCCGGGGGAGGGGGGTCCGGGGGTCAGGGATCCCCTGGGCCGGCGGCCGTCTGTCAGCGCCGACAGCCGTGACGACAGCCGTCACAGTGTCACACCAGGTGACACGGAACCGTCAGGGGGGGGGGGGGGCACTGCGACGACCGGGTCCGACCGACACCGGTGCCGGTATATACCGACCTCCGACACTAACAGTGTCACCGACACAGGAGTTGTAAACGATTCAAAAAAATTCAATCAATTCAATCACGACTCACTTGATGAAATGACCGATTCAATCAAAACTCAATCAAACAGTCTGATTTTCCAAGCGATTCAATCACGACTCATGGACCTTGTGATTCAACTCAATCACGACTCAACCCATTATCAGTGATTCAGGGAATGACTCAACTCATGATTTAACTCAACGCGATTCAATCAAGATGTTATATAAAATATATACATATGTGATATCAATTTAAGACATTTTTGGAAACTGATACCAAACAGATACCAACCAAATACACTAGGAAAATACCAAAAAACACTGAAAAGTACTAAATATATACTGAACTCAACAAAGTTGTAGATACTAGGTCGTTCAATAAGTAAGGTAAAATGTACCATAATTCATTTATATGAGGAATTCAAGCAAAATCAAATATGCCATCTGAATCTTTGAACAATTTTCTACACAACCTTCGAAACTGTTTTTGGGAGTTTGGCTCATTATCCGAACACGGTCGATATGAAAACATTGATGCAGCAGAGTTCCGTTCTGAAATTCCCCGGTTTGTCACGCGAGCCAAAATTCACCTCAAAATGAGTG